GACCCGGGGGCGTCCCCGAGTCCAGGCTCCACACAGAGGGGTGACCCTCTCTCCCTCTGCTTGTCTCCACCAGCGTCTGCATTTTCTGAGAGGTACTTGGGCCTCCACGGACTTGACAACAGAGCCTATGAGGTAGGTCCGGGCACAGCTGCCACTTGGCCAAACTGGAAATTTAGTGAAGTCTGTGTCTCTTGCCCAAGTCCCTCTCTCCCTCCTCTCCCACCTCTGGCCCAACCTGAACCCACACTCCCTCCCAGCCTACTGCTCCAGTCCTCTCCTCCCCATCGGGAAGACCTCCTGATCCCCCTTCTACTGTCTGTGAAAGAGGGTGACTGTGACCCCCTTGGGTTGGTGTCGCTCCCCATCCTGGGACTTGGGGGACAAAAAATAAAGTGGGAATGTCTTTGATGGAGGAGCCTGTCCCGTGGTCCCTAGATGTTGGGCGTAGGTGCCTGGCTCCCCTGTCGCCAAGGCTGGATCTGCTTTGGGGGAATAAGCTATTGCTCGGGGGACGGAAAACCCCTGTGGTGCATCCTGCTAAGTCACAGCCGTTCCATGGCTCAGTGTGGACGTCACACGTGGCACTCCTTCACCTGGGTGTGGCGAGGAGGCCAGAGTTGTGCTGTAGGGCAGGACGGTGGCCCCGAGGTTGAAACTTTAGCAACAGCAATGGAACTAAACCCCCTGGTAATCCCCCAATGTCACCGTCCCTGAGGCTTTACTCCATTTCTGTCTTCCCTCCCCTCCCTGTTTTTTTTGTTTGTTAATGCTCACCTGAGGATATTTTTTCCATTAATTCTTAGAGTGAAAGGGAGGGAGGCGGAGAGAGAGAAACGTCGATGTGAGAGAAACACATCAGTTGGTTGCCTCCTGCACACATCTCAACAGGGGCCAGGCTCAAACCTGCAACCCAGGTACATGCCCTTGACCGGGAATCGAACCCAAGACCCTTTGGTGTGCCGGCCGATGCTCTAAACTCTGAGCCACACCTGCCAGGGCTTCCACCCCCTCCTCTTCATCAAAGGGGTTCACGGGAAGGAAGCTGAGGCCCCTGAGAGCTGCTGTGGGTTTCATCAGATGGAAGGCCCCAGTTCTCCAGAACTCTGCTTCCAAGACTCTGCCCTGAATTCTCAGGCGTCTCTGTACATGCCCCCTCACCCCACCCCGCAGTGTGGCCACTAACTCTGTCCCCTTGCCCCTGCGCGTGCAGATGACCAAGGTGGCCCATCGGGTGTCAGCGCTGGAGGGACAGCAGTTTCTGATCATCCACGCGACGGCCGATGGTGAGAACCAAAGACAGCGACTCACTACGAATCCAGTGAAAGCAACATCCCCAGTGGTGTTATGGGTTTGGACAAACGCTTTCCTCTTCTTTTTTCCCAACAGAAAAAATCCATTTCCAGCACACGGCAGAGCTCATTACACAGCTAATCAAGGCAAAGGCTAATTACAGCTTACAGGTACAGTACCACACACCTGCTGGGTCTCGCACCTGGAGAGCAGATGCCCTTCCCACCAAGAAGGAGCTGATGGTGGTCAGTGCAGCCCAGTTTCGCCGCCGACGCACTTGTGCATGCTGGCCAGGAGCATCCCACAGACAAATTAGCCAGGCTTATTTTTCCTACTAGTTGTGATAGTTCAGTCCTGCACACAGGCTGTGTTTAAACGCCTTTAAACCTCCCCTTCCCTCCCACCTCCACCCTGTGCAATGAGCAAGGCCAGCAAACAGCCACACCCATCAGTGGGGTCGGGGTGTCCCTGGCATGTGAAGATGGGGCTGCCATCCCAGCGCTGACGAGAGCAGTGTTAGAGGGTCCCAAGTCTTCTCCCACCAGCCACCCTCTGGACAACAGCACGTGTTCCCTAAATACCAGCCAGGGGCTCCAGAGTCACCTGTGGCTGAGCAGTCATTAGAGAATCCCCCCAGAACCACACCCTCAGCCCCCTCACTAGCATCCAGTTTCCACTCACAGCCCAAGCCCAGGCTCTTTCCAGCACTGCACACGCTGCTCTGGAAACTTCTTCCATCTCCTTCCTGACCTCTGGATCCTTCGGTAAAACAGGCGTGACCCTGATGCATTTTGGGGTCCAGGGATAAATGGGAGATTTCCTCAGCACCCTGTCCCTCCGAGGGAACCTCGAGCTGACCTCCACCTGCCTCCGTTCCCCAGCTCCCAGCACCCCTGCATCCCTGTCCTGCAGAGGGTCACATGCAGACTGGGCCACTCAGGGAGAGCTTCCTGCTCAGGTGTTTGGCTCAGGTGTTGATGCCTGGGGAAGGACTTGGTTAATGCTATGTGTGTGCTTCCTTCTGAAATGCTCAGATCCTAGTAGACTTGACAGGTGTCTTGGCGGTTATCACCGTGGCAGATGGAAGATAGGTCTCTGTGGGCTAACATGGGCCACTCCCCTAGACAGAGGCTGTGAAATCAGCAAGGTGCTGAGCAGCACACATTCCAGATCCCACTCAGGTCAGTGAGAGGGACCCATGAGCAATGTCCTACCTGCAATACCCCACCTGCAGGCACAGCAAACACCTTAGCAGGTACTCAGTGAATTTATAAGTGATCAGCTCCAGGTGAGGGCACAGCACGGGGGACTGAGGACATGGGTCAGGAGGAGACATACCTCCTATTTTTCTTTCATTTCTGATCTATTCCTCGTGTACAATTTGCCATTTAACGGACATATAATAGCTCCATGGCATCGTTAATCAATACTCTAAAATAAATGGAAGGCCATCCTTCAAAGACAAGGGGAAGGCACAGTTCAAAAGGCAGGAGGAAGCCCGGCGTCATGGAAAGAAGGGGGGCTTCCGGGTCCTTTAGACTTGTCTTTGAATCCAGCCGGGACAAGTACCTTCCTGTGGAAATGGCAGCGCCCCTAGGGGATGGGAGGTGTCATTACACCTGGCAATAGAAAGCTACCATCCTGTTAGCGCTCCCTGCAGTAGGGGCCTTGTACTGCTTCCCAAGGACTAGGCGCTTAGGTCCCACAGAACTTTAGGAGCTAGTTTCTATTCTGGGGGTCACTTCCACAGCCAGAAACTCACCTGTTCACAGCAGCACGGGGAGTGAGCCAGGATGCCAGGGCAGGTGGCACCCAGGAGAGTAGCAAGTATCCACCCTCACGTGGGTGATTAGAGCTCAGATTCTGGCCGCTTCTGCGGGAGCCACGGTCCCCGCAGGCCTGAGTCCCCGCGCATGGATTCATGCTGCAGATTAAAAACTGTGTGGTCCCCTGAGCAAAGTGTCTCCTTAGTCCAGGACAGTGTCCCCTACACCAGTGGCCCCTGCGCGCGGCTGAGCCTCCGGGTGGAAAGGCACTGGGATCCCGTAGGAATTTCCCTTGGCAGGTTCATGCGGGCCCGGCTGTGTGAGGCTCCGCATCTCGCATGCACCCCGAGGTCGGGCACCCCAATCATTACTCCTCGCCTTCCTTGCAGATCTACCCGGACGAAAGCCATTACTTCCACAGCGCCCCCCTCAGGCAGCACCTGTACCACGCCATCATCAACTTCTTCGTGGAATGTTTCAGGGTGCAGGACAAACCCCCGGCAGCCCCCCCGAGGGAGGAAGAGGAAGACTGAGCGCCCCGCAGCCCCAGCACAGCCTGGCTCTGCCTGGGCGAGTGTCGGAGGACTGGGGGACCCCCCCTCCCTGTCCCGCCGGCGCTGGGGCGGGGCGGGGGGGCAGGGCAGGGCAGGGAGCATTCCCCTAACATAGCATGAAGGAATTTTGGCTTCAGAAGCCAGCTCCTTCCCGGGCGGAGATGCCTCCTGGCTTGCAGGGAGCCTGGCACCGACCCTCGCAGCATGC